GCCATCTGCTCCAAGTTCAGGGAGTTCCAAGGGTGCAGTCTCCTCCATATTGGATCTGGTGCAGGCATGGAAGCAAGCAAAAAAAAAAAAAAAAAAAAAAAAAAAATCTCCTACAAAGTTATTAGCTGCCCGCTCCCGTCCTGTCTTTCGCCCCAGCTGGCAGCGGGCGCTCCATCCATCACCAACCTAATCAGCCTTACCGCAACTGCTTTATTCTCACTCTTTTTTTCTTCTTTTCTTTCTTTCCCCGTCGTCGCTGCTGCTGCTACTGCTGCCGCATTCTCGTTCCTCCCTCCCTCATCCTCGTCGTCATCCTCTTTCCATCCGCAAATCCTCATCATCCTCATTCTTGGTCCATATCTCACTCGCCCTTTCCTCCTACTTACTCCTCCTCCTCCCTCTGTGCATATTCCGCGCCTCCCACATATCCCGAATCCACTCTTTCTTTCTTTCACAAGCAAGGTACTTTGCCTCTCAACCGTGTTGTCTTCCTTGTCTTTGGCTGGGAACACACATTGTCAATCCTCCTCCTCCAACCTCACCTTTCTGTCCAACTCTGCCCTCTTCACCCCATCGAATCTGCATCTGCATCTGCTCTTTTCCTCTCGCTCTATCAATCTTCTACGTGCATCCAGCTCTATCGCCCCCAATACCCCCAACGACCTGGCTTTACGCTAGCACATCGCCCCCAGTTTGACCTGGTCTTTTGCTGACAGCTGGCGTGCTGCCTTCGTTTAGTTCGCGCCATAGAGAATTCCTGGAGAAAGTCACTGTCGCAAGAAAAAAAAGTTCACACATACTCGTATATAATTCACCAGCGGAAAACCCAAAAACCTGCACCCACGCCACCAGCAAACGGAGCAGAGTCACACACCTTTTGCCGCCACAGATACCCCTCATAGATATCTTGACGAAACGCCTTTGCGTCGAACCACCCTTACGGCCTACTACCAACTCGCAAACCTTCCGACATTTTTTTTTTTTTTTTTTTGCACTCAACATTCTTCAGGAAAAACCAATAGCGGAGAAGCGTCACCACAGCGAGCACAAAAGTCGCGATCTCGCATCCGACGTCCGAAGACCGACTTTGCGCTAACTACACCAAAACTCCTCGAGAATGACAACCACTGTAAGTTGCTTTCCCTTTTACTCCACGCGAGGTCCGGAGGGGGATGATGGACTCCCGGATGCGACGATGCGAGCGCGCGGCCGTGTGTCTCAAGACTGCGCCTAACTAGCGCCATCATGGCCCTTGGGTCGAGTCGCCAACTCGGCGCTCGGAACTTCGCCTAGACCTGGCAGCTTGTCAAAAAAAGAAGGCTCGCCTCGTGCTGTCCATCATCATTGCTTCTCGTCCTTCGTCGTCTCTGCTCTCATGGCTTTCACGTTGCTAACTTGTCACGTTCCACAGGCACGGCCAGGTCGCTTCCAGACCTTCCCAGCGATGGCAAACGGACGAGACGAGAAGACAGCACCTGGAGCGGCGCAAGCCTTCGGCTCCAACCACCTTTACACCACAGGATCAAACATCTGGACAACGACCTATGGGGGACCAGCCAAGGCCAACGCCGGAAACGCCAGAGCTGAAGACGCATTCACAACCCAGCCGTCGGGCTCTGGCGCACTCGCCGCGGGCTCAGAGGCAGACACTTGGGGTCAGGGCCCATGGAACCAGGACGGCACCCAGACCCGATCTGCTTCCGGAAGCACGTCGCCAAACCGCACACGCGACAACCTGCACAACAGCACCTCATCATTTTTTGACAACGCTACCATCGGACAGGGCCGCGGCTTCATCAACGGCCGGCCAAAGTCGTTTTTGGAGGAGGACAAGGAAAATACCAGCTTCGGAGCCAGCTTCAACAGTCCGTATGAGGGGTACGCCAGACAGGAGAAGCGCGGCTCGAAAGAGACTGCGTATCTGGCCGGCCTGGGCGCTGTTGGTGCTCCCTCCAGAGACAGCAGCATTCCTCCCTCGCGCCAGTCTGATGATTCGCACCACTCGCCCCCTGCGTTCCGAGACACGTTTGGTGGTTATGGCCATACCCCGAGCAATTCAATTGCCTCGACTCGTCCCATGCCTGCCCACTCTTCGTCCTTCCCCTCGCAAACCACCAACCAGCGCGCTTTCCTGGCGAACAACAGGCAGATGGAGGATTCAGACCTTGCCTCCACGTTCAAGAAGTCCATGACTCTGGATGATGGGTCCGGAATCGCCCAGACCATTGGCGGTGGCGCACCGGGCTTCCAGTTCAACCCTGGGTCTCAGCCCTGGAGGGCAGACGTCAACGGAGCCTTCCCTGATGCCTACGCCGACCCCGTGGCACAGCAGCAGTATAAGCGGGGCTCCATCGCCAGCATCTCTGGCACGCCGGCTCAGTACCGTGTCGTCACCAGCCCCAAGACGTATGCGTCCCAGCAGACTGATCCTTGGAGGTCATCGTCTCGCGACCTGAGAATGGTCTCGGATGGCGACCGGCGGACCCCTGTTCAGCCCTTCATCCCGGCCCAGGCGCCTACCTTCTTCCCCGCGGGGCCTTACTACAACCCCAACTTCGCCGGACAATTCGCTCCCCAGGTGTACGACCCCTACATCAGGCAGCAGATCCCCATGCCCGGATACGGACTGCACATGGCGCCTTACTCCATCCCCGGAGTGGTGCCGATCCGTGCCACCAAGGACCAGGACCCGAGCAAGGGCATGCGCAGCATGCTTCTGGAGGAGTTCAGGTCCAGCTCCAAGTCCAACAAGCGGTACGAACTTAAGGACATTTACAGCCACGTCGTCGAATTCAGCGGCGACCAGCACGGCTCCAGATTCATCCAGCAGAAGCTCGAGACGGCGAACAGCGACGAGAAGGACCAGGTCTTCCGCGAGATCGAGCCCAACGCTATCCAGCTGATGAAGGACGTCTTTGGCAACTACGTCATCCAGAAATTCTTTGAACACGGCAACCAGGTGCAGAAGAAGGTGCTGGCCTCCCAGATGAAGGGCAAGGTCGTCGACCTGTCGATGCAGATGTACGCCTGCAGAGTTGTCCAGAAGGTGAGTTCCCGCATCAATCTGCTACTGTCCCTTTACTGACTTTTCACAGGCCTTGGAGCACGTCCTCGTTGAGCAGCAGGCGGAGCTCGTCAAGGAGCTTGAGCCGGAGATTGTCAAGGTTGTCAAGGACCAGAACGGCAACCACGTAGTCCAAAAGATCATTGAGCTCGTCCCCCGCCATTACATCAACTTCATCATGGACTCTTTCCGTGGTCAAGTGAGCACCCTGGCCTCGCACATGTACGCCTGCAGGGTCATTCAGCGCATGCTCGAGTACGGCACCGAACAGGACAAGGAGACGATCCTCGGCGAGCTGCACAACTCAACCCAGAGCCTCATCACCGACCAGTACGGCAACTACGTTGTTCAGCACATTATCGAGCACGGCAAGCCCGAGGACCGCTCAAGAATTATCCAGCTTGTCATCTCCCAGCTGGTCACCCTGTCCAAGCACAAGTTCGCCTCGAACGTGGTCGAGAAGTGCATCCAGTTCGGCACCGCGGAGGAGCGCAAGGGCATCCGCGAGCAGATCACTTCCCAGGCCAGTGACGGAACCAGCTCGCTGCAGTTGATGATGAAGGATCAGTACGGCAATTACGTGATTCAGAAACTGCTCAACCTGATTGAAGGCTCCGAGCGCGAGGCCTTCATCGAGGAGATGAAGCCCCAGTTTAACCTCCTCCGCAAGACGAGCACTAGCCGTCAGCTTGCGGCCATTGACCGGCTCCTCTATGCCACACAGACCCTTCCCTCCAAGTCCGGAGGATCTCAGGCCGACTCTACCGCACCTACCCCGGTTCTGACGATGGAGCCCAACAGCCCTCAGAGCAGCAGTCCTCCCAGCACGAACGCCAGCGCCATCGGCGAGGTCGCGGACGACGACAACAAGTCCGGGGTGCCCGGTGGTGTGAGCCTCAAGGTGCAGGTTGAGGAGGCTTAGTTCAAACCCGCTCACGAAACTTCGTTCGGTATGATGGCGTCACGGTTGCTTCGAGGTACTACACAAATGCATCACGACACGACACGGACTTGATGATCCCTGCCGTGGGTATCACGTCTCCCACTTAATCTCTTGTTTTTACAACACACCCCCGAATATGCAAAACCCAACACATACACGGCTGGCAAGGTCAACGGTAGAAAAATTGTTTGGACAACATACTTTTTTGGGGGGATCCAAAAAAAAAGGGCTGTTTTGGCTTACTCGTGTTTTCTTTACCTCTTGATGGTTCCTCTCATTCACACACACTCCTGGGTCATAAAATCTTCAGAAAGGTGGAGTATCAAGGGACCAAAAGGCTGAGACATGTACGCAAGGTTGGAGAACCGGTCAAGGGGGGCAAGGTAGACGTTCACGGGTGCATCTTTTTGGGGGGTTCACGGGCGATTCACGTGGGCGAGGTTGAACTTTTGACTTCATGTATTTTATTGGAATTATCGTGTCTATGCGATACCAGCGTTAGTCTGACGGATAGACCTGTCAATAGACAAGTGCAGTAAAAGTAAAAGCGATAACCACGTATACATTGAGGTCCTATGTAACGGTATGAGGACGGACATCCAGGTACGTTCGTCTGGACGTGAGGGAGCCGGATATCCGGTGCATCTGAAAGGCATGTCCGGCGACGTCCCAAGATGCTCACGAGCTGACAGCTCCGGTCAGCCAATGCAAAATTGCCCGATTCGGGGACTACCCAGCATTAGCTAATCAGGGGTCCCAGCCATTACATCATGGCGCCGACGTTAAGCGGCAGGCTTTGGTGTCAGTCGGGCACCTGAACTAGCTCCGACATTGGTCCCGCAAACCCCTGTGCGCCCCCACGTGTCCAATCGTCCCGCAGCAATTATCGTGGGAAATTGGGCCGGGTGGGCGTTCCGACCTACAACGTCCCGTCACGCATGACTGATTCTCCCTCGTTTCTTCCCTCTTGCAACCTTCAATGCACCGCACACGATGTCGACGACACGACTGACCTTTTTGTACCCGCACCTCTACCGCACCCTGCGCGCCAGCGAGCCCAGGGCATCGTCGACATGTCGCAGCAGCAGCAGCAGCAAACGGGCCGCCGCCGAGGTTCGGAGGAGAGGGTACGCCGCCTTCACGCCCACGCCCGAGGCCCGACAGTCCGGCTTCGCGCCGCGGCACGGCAAGGGCATCGAGCCTGTGAAGGCCGAGAGCGAGAAGACGCGCAAACCGGTGCCGGCGCCGAAGCCTGAAGCAAACACCACCACCACCGCGCCGGAGAAGACCGCCGACTCGACGGCAGCCAACCCGAAACCGAGCGGGACCGCATCCGAAGACGGGTCGGCGGCGCAGACACCGACGTCAACGACAACAACATCCACGAGCACACCACCACCGCCGCCGGCCGGCGAGGAGCAACAGCAGGAGGCGGAGGAGGCCAAGGCGGCGAAGCAGGAGGCGCGGGACCAGGCCAAGAAGAGCGGGCCGCTGGAGGCGGTGCTGCAGATGGGACCGCCGGAGCAGGTCGCGAAGCAGCACCCGCACATGGAGACGCCGCCGTACGTGCACCACTTTGACAGCTTCTCGCTGGTGAAGCAGCTCGGCGGCGGGGGGTACACGGGGGCGCAGTCCATCACGGCGATGAAGGCCATCCGGGCGATTCTGGCGCACAATCTGGATGTGGCGCAGGAGAGCTTGGTCAGCAAGAGTGATGTGGAGAATGTGAGTTTGTTTCTGTGAGGAAGAGACGACGATGGAGGTTGCTGACGCAGTTGCAGGAGACGTATCTGTTCAGGGCGGCGTGCTCTGAGCTCAGCACCGAGGTGAAGAACAACCAGAAGCTGGCGGACGAGGAGATGAGGCAGAAGAGGACGCTGCTGCAGCACGAGGTGGACATTCTCACGCAGTCGCTGAACCAGGAGCTTCTGACGCTCAACGACAATGTCCGCGGCATGTTTAACGACCGCAAGATGGCGGTGAGGGAGGAGCAGAAGGCCGGTGAGAGCGTGGTAAGTGGCCATCGTCCCCCTCTTTTCTGTGTGAGATCACATACTAAGACAGCTAGATCCAACAAATCAACTACAAAATCAGCCTGCACCTCAGCAGTGACGCCAAGTCCGACATCGAGGGCCTGCGGTGGGTGCTCATCAGGAGGTCCGTCATCGGGATCCTGTTCATGGCCGTCGTGACGCTCGGCACGCTGCGGTACGGGTCGTATGTCTCGCACGAGAAGCAGAAGGAGGCGGAGAGGATCAAGAAGCAGGTCGAGCTGATTAAGAAGTCGCATGGGAAGAATGATCATAGCTCGTCGCCGGATGCTGCCGAGATCTTGGCGGCGAATTAGAGATGGGATGAGAGGGGACATGTGTACTTGTCAAAAGGTGGCTGGAACGATACCCTATAGACATCATGATAGATCCCAATGAGGTGCATTTGAGCCTCTCCAGGTTGAAGATTCGTTTCCACGGGCAAAGATCAAGTGGTATTCTCTTGAGATCGAGAGCGGCGCCGTTCAGACCTGACTGGGAATTATTAATAGTCATACCCCGGTCATCTCGTACTCCTTGACAGCGAGTTCCCAAAATTCAAACAGCTTCTTCCTCGCTATCTTCATTCCTTCCGGGAAGGCTTCGTTGGAAACTTACGTGTCTCTCGATCAGTAAGGAGATAAGAACGTTCTCTGTGACATTTTACCCTCCCCTAGAGCGGCCTTGCCATGAGTTACAACATTCCATCATCGTCTTCTAATCGCCTCCAGCGCGGATTTAGACAAGATCTCATCAATCGCCGTACAATCCACCATGCATGGTTTCGCTTTGCGTGGTCTGACGACTAAATCTGGCAGGGGAGAATGAGATCTGAGAAGTATGCGTCCGTCTGCTGCAAGCAATCCTCTTCGCAAGAGAGGATTGGCTGCAGGCCATTTTCGCAGAAGTATGCGAGCTAGGATTGCTCATGGGCGTGTTCTGTGATGCTCCGTGAGGATTTCTACAGCTATTGCGCTCGCCAGGGCTGATCTGCGTAGCGCAACCTTTTCTTTCGATTCATGACAGAAAGATCATGTTGTCCAGCTCCCAGTCAAGCTACTAAGTGCGGCGTTTCTCTCCGGCCGGTGCCTATACATCCTACGCAACTCATCGATGGTCTGTAGCGTGGACGTTTCAAGCATTCAGCGATCGAGAAGCAGGCTGTCCAAACGGAGCAATTGTAATAAAGACCGAGATGTGTCTTGCTTCAAACCGGCGTTATGACAAGGGCTGGCCGTCTGATAGGTTGCGTGTGAGGAGTGAGGCTCGGAAAAAGTAGTACGCTGGGAACCTAGTGAGGAGGGCCCTTTGATCACGCAGAAAGGCAGGTTAAATTGGTTGATGATGTCTCCATGGCTGTGAAGATATGCCGAAACATCAAAAGCTGTCTTTTCATTGCCATATCTACCTAGGAATCTCATGACAAGCAACTTTGGGTACAAGTGGGTGCAATCGATGGATGACCACGCGGTAGTCGTCGAGAGCAGCCGCCTTACCGCCGCCCGGTCAGATACCGAGTTTGGGGACACGATTTTTGGGGCATGGTTGCGGTGCCTTGCCTAAAAGGGAATAGTCGGTAGAATAGGCTGATGCAGTGACACCAGCGTCCGGCAGCAAGCAATATGATGGAGGGGAATGGGGACAGGGGACCAGACACACGCGATGCCGTCCACCACCACCAACGCCGTTTGCCCAGTCCCAGACCTGTCTGTAATCCTCAAAAGCTGGCTACCAAAGTATATAAACTGAGAAAATAGAGGACATCAAGGATGGCCTTTCCACTCAACATTACTTTCTCTTTTCCAACTATTTTGTTGATGTCTCAAGAGACCGGCAACGACACGCCTTAGTTGTTGAGAATCAATTCTTGCAAACCCCCACCTCTTCTCCAGTTCAACGGGCATGAGCGGATATACACCGTCAACTGCCTCCAACTTGAGGTGTACCAAACTCGAGTGCAATTCTACATTTTCCACCAAATCAAACTTGAATAGGCACATCAAGTCCAAGCATGGTCCCAAGGTCCACGCAGCCTGCGGAAAGGAATTTCCAAACCAAACTTGGAACATCAAGCGACACGCGAGTACCTGCAGCGACTGCAAGAAAATGATGGACCACCACGATGCCTCTGCTTCGCCAGAGAAACACAGAGATGGTGTCGGCAGCCTTGATCATCACAACTTCCTTGCTGAAGGCGGGGCTTCGGGTCAATATGATACGACATTTGGGGACATTGTAAACGGCGATATAGTCTTCTGGGGCTGTGAGGAATACGCATTCGCCTTGGAGTATGAAAAGGATTGAGTCGTGAAAATAGATGATGAGCTCTGTGCGTCTATGCTGTTCACAATACAATAATTAAGGCTACTCGTAAACAGTGTGAAAAGTCTGAATTGCTTGGTTGAGTCCGTTCAGTCACCTAATCCATTCACTTATAAGACTGACTATCTGCTACATTCTCAGCTGTTTTCCCTTTTTTTTTTTTTTTTTTTTTTTCTTCAATTGTACGAGCGTTTGATTCTATCGTGAGGCGCGCAAAACATGAAATCTGGCGAACTATCTCATTCGCACTGCGCGAGAGAAGACACAACCAGACCCACCCATCCCTCCCACTGCCTGCCTTGAGGACCCAGGGACTGGACGTCATTGATAAAGAGACGGTCGAGTGTACTGAGGAAAGAAGCACCAGAAAATAAAAAAAACAAAGTGAGGTATGCGTGGTGCGAACTGTTTGGCCACTGTCAGCCCTCCCACTTCCTACCTTAGGCACATCGGGACTCGGTAGACGGCGGGGTATGCTGAGGAAAGAAAAAACAGAGTACAAAGCATCCAGATTAGAAAAGCAGGCTGTCACGCACCCGCATCTCAGATCCCTGTCGATTCGACTCCACTTCGGAAGACCTTCCAATCCGTCACTCGGGGCTCTCTCTGCGACTCGCTTTGGTCTGCACCACGCTGAACTAAACCGAATCCTCAATCTCACCCCGAGGAGATTTATTTCATGGGAGCTATATATTTCAACTTGAATCCGATTGGTTTTTGTTATGAAAATGGCTTTGCTAAGCATTACACGAAACAGTTCTCTGGCCTGTAGTCAATAAGGATCAATCGTAAACTCTGACTTATTCCCACAACCACTTCTTCACAATGGCTGCGCTCCTGACTTCCACACCACCTACCTTTTTTAAATGCAAGGAACCGTATTGCCATTCAAAGCATTTTGCGACAAGCTCTAATCTCAAGAGACATATGAGATCCAAGCATGGTCCCAAAGTACGGATGGCCTGTGGAGAGGAGCGTCAGAACCATTCATCCAACAAGAAACGCCATGAAAGCAGCTGCAACAAGTGCAAGACCATCACTGCGCAGCAAGTGAGTGTCACTCCTGCCACTAAGAGCCACGGCATCAACCATGCGGGGCCCACAACCTTCAACTCAGGAACCGCAATGTTCGAGGCAGAGCCCAACGACTATGCTGTCGAACTCAGTCAAAAGCTCTTCGATGTGTTTTGGTGGACTTATGAGAGCCTAAACCCAGTCTATGAAGCTGAGCAATAGAACAACGAATCACCTCACTAAATGATTGCGTACGTGGCCCCAACATGGGAACGTGGCAGTTGCTAAAAGTTGTTATAGATGACTATGATACACAAGTGCATTGTGGAATACCGGGAGGGTTGGGAGGTTGGAAGGCGGAGTGTGGTGATGTTTACATTCTAGATTGCGGCATTGCCTATTATTGCCGCCATGACTAGCCCCAATTCTCATTTTCAGCGAGCAATCGCAAGTGTTCAGAACTTAAGCCTTGATCTTGGTGAACTAAATTTATATGCAATTCTTGCAGGCCACTAGTTCAGTGCCGACTCATTCAGACAGGCGAGGGAAATGCAATGCTAACTTAGTGCCCGTCTTTAGCTTCTCCCAATGGGCCGGGAGTCGTGTGGGTCAGTTGGGACCGACTCCGTCAGGTGGATCCAGCTGAACTCCGGTGCTCCAGACGGGATGGACTGTTGAGGGGCCCGACGTACAAGGCGGGAGGTTCGGGAATACTAAAACGCAGATATCATTTGACCCTTAGATACAGCTGTTTGTTTGCAAGTCGGATTTACTAACAAGAGTCCCCGAACTTCGCAGAGGTGCATGCTTAAGGCTGCCTGCCCGAGGACAGCCGGTAAGGCGGGCAAGCAGAGTAATCAACTGAGCAACATAAAGTTCCTTCTCTTTTTTATTTTTAGTCTCCGTCCCTGAGATTCCTATGTATCATGGCCCTTAATTGTACTCGCTCTTATTTATTTTATTTTTTCCTCTGCAAGAAAAACCTTTTTCCTTCGCGAGCTGCGGTGACCAGAGGCCACAGCGCGTGGTCGTGCTCCACCCCGACTTACACCGTTGCCCCGCTTGCCTTCCTGTCACCATCACATCCAGACAAGCACCTTCCAACTCACCTCACTCAAACAGCCGTCACCATAAATCCAATCCAAACACGACCAAAAAAAATCTGTTCCACTTCTTCCATCGGGCTAAAGACAGACCAAACCGTAAGTAGGGTTTTGTGATTCGCTTCACAACATATTCTCTTTTATCTTCACTGTCTAACCAAGTGACAGATACGTCATGCCTTCCCAAAAGGCACAATCCGACCTTCCCGCCTTCGAGCCCAGAAAGCGCCATCGTGGCCGTTGCTTGTTCCCGGACGATTCTGACTTGTTCCCAGACGACTCAGACGGCGATGGTTCCGACGTCACTCACAAAAAAGCCCGCCGCGATGAGGCTGGCGACGAGGAGCATCAGACTGGCGCCGAAAAACTGCCAGCAGCCTTGGAAGGCAGAAAGGTACAGGGAGAGGAGCAGCAGCAAGAAGCGGCAGTCGACCTTGTTGATGATGCTGATGACAGAGCCTCCATGGTCCAGAGGCTTTGCACGGGCATTGATAGACAGCTACACGCTCTCAATGAAAACCTGAGCAACCCAGAGTCGACGCTCATAACCACGTTGTCCAACGCGGCAACAACGGCTGTGAGGCAATCTTTGGTGGATTCGCCGGTAAAGAAAATCGAACAGGAGATTTACCAGTGCAAGCAGCTCCTGGTGAGGAAGCAGCAGAATCTCGACGAGCTCCACAGAAACAGCCAACAAGAGCAACACGAGCAGGCCGATGCCCTTCGGCGTGAACAAACTAAGGTTGCTGGGCTCTCTAAGCAACTGCAAGACGAGAAAAACAAGCTTGCCGACGTCTCTTGCAGCCTTCAGGCTGAGCAGACCAAAGTTGCTGAGCTCTCTGCCAGTCTCCAGGCTGAGCGGGTTATGTGCACTGAGCTCTCAGACGCACTTCGAGAAGAGCAGAAGAAAAGTTCCAAACTTTCGAGGGATCTCGCAGCGAAGCGGAGAAAAAGTGCCAAAGACGTGGAGTGGAATATCAATGTTCTCAGGAGCAACTTGGGCAAGATCAACTTCAAGCGAAGCCATCCAAACGAAAGGGATTCAAAATCCAAGTCACGTCTGATCAGCACTATCGCCAAGCCTCTGCTTACGCAAGTGGGTACCGACTTGCTCGATTTCTTCTTGCATTACAGTGAACCAGGCGTCATCTACTGCTTCACTCATGCGGTCACTGACGAAGATCAAAAGTCGCCCCCTTTCAAATATGGGCAGTGCCCTCTTCATCTCGCGGGTGAGAGGATTGATGACTGCATAACTGTTTTGTGTCAGGAAGATGCTGTCGCAGACAAGAGCTTCATCTTCCTCAGACTTGACATCGCAGTCGAAATGACGGGGGGTAGGATGGTCTCTCTCTCGCCATAGTCGGGGACTGACTGCGGGGGTCGTGTAGTTGTATGAATACATCATCGTTGCAGTTCTAAATGTTTTGTTACCTTTGATCCTAGTGACGTGACCCGTTGATGTGCCGGTGAGGTTTTGCTGGTGGCTAGCTCCAGCGTAGTCAAGCAGCTCGCTGCTCATAATGGCAACGCAAATCGTCGGCTTCTTACCTAAATACCGTTAACTCACATTTTACTGCAATCTGAGAGAATATTTACGAATACTCAATGATGTCTCAGATGCCTTGTACGTACTTTAAGCGTCGCCGAGCCGAAGTTGAAGAGGCCTTACCTGGGTGATTCCCCATTTATGTAGATAGGGAATGCCTGTTTCATCTCGCATCATTCACACAGATAAGTACAGGCCCACGGTGTATTCCAAGTAGTTAGTGTTCTTCATCAAAAACACCTCTCATCGGGCCCTGGCAGACCACACATCGTTCCCGTGGGTCGATGCTACTCTAATCTAAGATAATGTTCAGATATCTCTGTTGAGATAGCAGATGCTCTTGAAGTTCGAGATTCTGCCGGCTGTATGTCGGTCATGCCGCTGTGTTTCACGGTCCATGTTATCACGAAAGGTTGAGACTGAAGGCCTATCATCACAGGTGGAATGCGAAAGCTTGAACTGGAGACACTCGTTCACGTAACACCGTAGTCCAGACTTCAAGTCCATCAAAAGTCCATCAATCAATCGTACAAATCTTACTGACTGACAAAACCTTGATCTATGTCTTTGTGACTTGACCAGTAGACACCAACGGAATGGCGGAATTGGCCATGCGCTCTCCCGCGACGAGCCCCTAATGAGACACCAGCTCGATTTAGGCTGTTGAACCGCCCGCTTTTCCTGGACATCTTGCCGGCAACTGAGTTGTGAGTTTTCTGAAGAAACCCCACAGCACTTTCAACGCCCTAATCGATATCACTCGAGCTTGGCTCGTCCTTGGTGTCCGGCTCGTCCTTGATGTCAGGCTCATCCTTGATACCAGATTCATTCTCTGCAGCCGAAGAGTTGCAAGAGACCGCAGCCATACCCATGCCAGGAACCTTAGAAGGCTGCTCTATCGACGTGCGGGCGCTTTTCGCCGGGCGCTCGCTTTCCTCTGTACTTAGAGACCGGTCTCTCTTCGTGTCGTCACCAAGACAACCATCCAGGTATGCCTGTGCTGCGGCAAAACCTCTCTCGTACGCAGGTCTAGTAGCCTTGCGGTCTTCACGGAGTTTCCGCACGCTGGCTCTCTCTTCCAGGCTCAATGGAAACCAGTTGGCTTTGGTCTCGTGGTAGTAAAGAGCATACGTGTAACCAGGCTCGCCGATCTTCCAGTCCGACTCGCTGTAGGCCTCCTCATCCGATGGGAAATTGTCTGAACCGGTTTCGTGGAAAGATCTGATGCGATCCATTCCATCCTTGCCTTCGGCCCGTTGCCTGACAGCCATAGCCAACACGTACCGATATGGTCCCTTAAGTGGATGATGCCGACCATACGGCAGGACCATCTTGAAAGTCAGAAAATCCATCAGGTTGAACTTGTCGTTCGCAGACGGCGTAAATCTGACTCTGATAATCGGCGGGGCGTAGGTAAAGATGAAGCTTATGGTGCCGTCGTCGGTAGGTCCACAAGGCCTTCTGATTGCGGCCGGGACGTCGAATCCGGTCATCCCCTGCGCTTCGTTGTCGATGATGATGACGTGCTCTTTGGAGTTCAACTTCACCTCTTGCCATGGGTCCTCCTCCTTCTCTTTGGTCATCTTGACAAAGAGGTTGAATTGCCCACGAGCCCATATGGTTTCGGCGAGCTTGTCGCACTGCTCCAGGTAGGCGAATGAGAGGTCGCGTTCGGCAGTCTCTCTGGATACGATCTGGTGTTTGATTAGATTGTTCCTCAGGTCCTCGAAGTCGCTGGGGTAGCAGAGGGGCGCAGTCTCCCATGACAGCTGCAGCAGCGGGTTGTCTTCTTCGTCTTTCTGTCGGAGCGGGTCGTTGTAGGCCACCTCATCCTTTAACAACCAAGAGTTGAAGTGTCTGATGATTACCATGAGGCAAGAGACACCCGAGAACCCCGCTGGCGTGTTAATGGGCCAAATGTGAAAGAGGGGTCCGCGCCAAGCATTGGTGTTGGTGCCGTGCTTCTTGCGAACATCGCCATCCTCCCTTTCGACTATCAAGGTAAACGGTGTCTTATACTGGGAGGACATTTTGCGCGAGGTTGGTCGTGTCGTGTGAGTTTGTTGTGTAGTCCGTGTCTGAGAAGGCAGCAGCCCTTGAGAGAGGTTGCAGGTGTGTGAGTTTCGACAATAAAAGTGAAAGGTTGTGAGATGAGCAGCTCTGGCGGCAGTGAGGGCGGGCCTGGCGAGAAAATTTTGGTCTGAAATTGTGCAAGTCGACACATACGCCCACAATGGAAACTACCAGCAGGTAGTGGAATGTGGCATTCACCGATGTTTCAAGATCTAGACTTCCAAAAAACAAGAAATAAAAGATAAGGAGAGGAAATTTTTTTGCGCGAGCTGCGGCGACCACAGGTCACGGCGCGTCGTCGCGGACTTGTCTTCCACACCGACTTACACCGGCGCTTCACTTACGTTTTCCCTCCTTCCCCTTCGTCGTACTTTCTCTCCATCACCCACCCATTCTTCCGGGCCATTTGCCGTCCGGGTGCTTCAAATAGGACTTTGAAGGACCTCCATAAGCATATACCCGAGAGAAAGATGAGTGAAGTACTCAAGGAGCTGCGGGATTGCGCCTTCTCGGCAACGATCACTCTATAGCTGAGTGATCTGCAATCCTGCCGGGCTCAAGCATACCACGAGATAGATTCTAATGATGCACCCAGACCTGGAGAGCGAGCGAACGACGACGATGATGACGACGATAACGATCGGAACAACAGCAGCAGCGACGGGCTATTGGGCAGACTGTCCATGATGCGCCTTCCTAGTGGATCCGTCGATGGAATTAGCAGCTGTAGACTTTCTTTCAATATTTTACGTCAATTGGACTTTCGCGAATCTTGATCTTATCTATCAGGTCATGTAGATGCGGAAGTCCCATGTGATCCCGAATTACCTCCCGCTGAAGAGGACCAAGGACGGGAAAGGCCCCATGCCCAAGAGCTGGCAGGTGGTTTCCGTCTCGAAGTGAACCTAACTCACTGCTTCGTCATGCCGCTGCGTAGGATGCAATCGGAGAAGAAAGAGCATGTTTCTTCGTGCAGCTCCCTCCAACGCACGCAGGTGAATCTTTCCGCGCACTACCGCCTTGGCCTACTTTTCTCTCCACTTCACCGTGGACGACATAGAACAATTCAACTTCAGCTCTCTCCGTGGCTCGTCTTTCACACTTTATCACAGCACCTCTTGCACCCCTGCTATCATCAAAGTCTACGCATACTCTATATAGCAGTCTTCCATCTCTCTGTATTCAGTTTTCGGCGTGCCTTTTCGTTGAAGCAAACAAACCGCGCTCAAGATGTCCTCCACCAGCAATACCTACCCCAGCCGTTCCTACAGCGGCAGTAACAACACAGTAGATGAGAAATAATACTGGGTCTGCTCCTATCCCTGAGCCTGGCTCTGCTCCTATGCCCGGGCCTGGGTCTGGTATCAGCAGACACAATGCCTTCACTCCAAAAACCCCTGCTGGAAAACGTAGCTCTGGTGCTCACCCGAAGCTCACTACCGCTACCGCTGTGGAGGCGTTGGGACTGGGTGATCCAAAAGACACAAATGAGCCTCAAGTGCAAGAGGACACAGAAGTGCAAGATGAACCTGTGCATAAGGTATGTCATTCACATTAATCAAGACAGACAAGGAATCAATGGAAGATGCAACAAACCTCGAGACTCGGCGTTTGGCCTCCTTCTGCTTTCCTTCTTGCGGCTGGTCTATATCGTTGACTGATGTGCTACTCTCAGACTTCGGGGGTCTAGAAGACCATTGAAGAGTTTCCGCCACCAACATGGTCGAAATATACTTAGCTACATCTCCGTCAAACAACACCGCTCGTCCTACGGTATCCCTTCCTGGGCTGTAAGGCCGACTCATTTTCTGCAGTATCTCGGAGACAGCCAATACGGAAAACCCTTTTCTGTGAGGAACGGCGGCCACTCTGATTCATTCCTTGAAACACTCTGACAAGTCTACCACTGCAGATTCCGAAGCATGCCGCTTTGATTATACTATGGCACTGGATTCTACCACCGACCGGCTGCTTTGCGGCCTGATATGTTCGAAATCCATACATTGGTCGATCTGCGTGTCGTGCTAAGCATGTACGAGTCCTGCGCAAATGCAATGGTACTATTCCGGAAAACCTGGCCCAATTGGATTTGGACAAGGTCATCAGGGAGATATTCATCAGCGTACATCATTGAGAAGCGTTGCTCTACCATGCGTGTCTACGAAGTAGATTCGGCCAGTTCAAATCTTCGTGTGAAGAATTCAGGTCCAATCATTCGCTTCCCTGCGGATGAAGCGAGGGTGACCAGAAGCAGGCGCCAAGGTCACCTATCGGCCGCTGTTTGTTTGTCATCGAGGTAGAGCAGCGCATGTCGCAGCTCGGCTCCTTGACAAACATGCAGCTTTCATTGACTCTTTCGTTGGCTTACCACCGTGCTCACATGCATTCAAGTGTCGGAAGAATGAATAGGCCTGAGATTAAATCTAGCCATGGCCGCCTCCCTGCCGCAAAAGGACTCTCCGGTCTCCTCTGTTCCGGCTACTTCCTGACGAGTGGGATGGCTCATCAGACGAGCCAGCCTGAAGACGATGCGACTCTTCGATACTTTGTCTGTTCTCGGAGCGATGATCGTCGTTGTGAAAGCTACGAGTTCTCGGCCCTACAATGCTGGCTTATCACCAACTCCGCCTCCAAGACTTGAAGCCAGAGACAGCCTTACCAGTAGACCGACCAATGTTTGCGGCTACTACACTCTAGAGGAAGACAAATGTTTCAACTCTCTCGCTCCTAATGACTTGAACTATGGGCTGACTAGTTCACAGTAATTAGAACACACCAATGTCCGCCGAATGAGGCTTGCAAGATATCTGACGGGTTCATCGGCTGCAACAATATCGCGTATTCGGTGTGCGCGAACGCACGGGAGATCCAGGGTTGTCAATCTGGGAAGACAGTCGGCGCCGGCACACTTTGTTGGTAAGTTTGAGAAAGTTGGCTCCTCAACCCATTCACGAACTAACAGTGATAGTCGCGAAACTTCCGGCTGGGTGCCGGCATGCCAGACATATGTCCGAGACGATGCCGAACTGGGAATCAAGAAGATGTATGGATGCCGCGATGTTGCGCTCGCCTGGGATAAGACGGTCACCTTGCACTGGGCAACGAGTTTACTGGTTCAGATAGACTCTATCACCCTACCTGCGCCATTTACGACAACCACCGGAAGCATCTTGGTTGCTGGATCTTCTATCGAGGCCCGCACATCTGAAGCTCCGGCGATATCTTCCCCTATAACAGAACCTGCGCCTACTTTGCCCTCTGCTTCGGAATCTTCTGACACAAGCAACGAAAACTCGTCTTCTTCACAAGCTGGGGTCATTGTGGGAGGTGTCATAGGTGGTATTGCCATTGTAGGCGCCATCTCGTGCTTCGTCCTTTGGCTTCTTGTCCGGCGACGTCGAAGTCTGGAAGGAAAGATAGAGACAGTGGGCAGACGGCTTGAGACACCGATGGCTGAGCTTCAGGGGGACGAGCCTGATGCTTCTGAGAACAGAGAGCAGGGTGAGTATCGGCCTACGGCGTTAGTACCTCCGGCACCGCCAGAGTCGCCGGTCATCAGAGTGTCGGCGCCGAGGATTTCGACCGCTTCGGTATGTAAGGCGCCGTCAGGCAATCAGCTTGGTAGCCCAGCTACGCCGGCAGAGCTGGATTCGTAGGTTCGCATATGGGTAGCACAGGCCGGCGTTTGGTACGAGAGTATTGGTAGAGATAATGTTAATAGGCTCAATAACTCGATCTCACTTGATGACTAGGGTGCTGGTTGCCAAACAAACGTGGCAGCGGATTTGGGTTCTCGCTTGAAGACAAAGAGTCCGCCCCTGTTAGCATCGCGAACGTGGCAAACAACACCACCGGACCATGGTTCATCCATGCAAGGGCCAAGAAGATCTCTGGGCACGATCACTGATGGTCATTTGAAAACAGGGCGTCTCGAATGCCATCATCAAAGAAACGAACTCGAGGGACACAAGGTTTGGTCATTCGAGAATTGTCAGGCCGAGTAAAATGTCTCGACAAACACTCAAAAGAGGATGTTAAATCGAAGCCCTCCTCGGCGGGAGGACAAACACTCGCCCTTGGACCGTCTCTTTCATTAACTTCGCCACTGAGCCGAGACGTGCCAAAGGGTGACGATGAGAGTCTCTCCGCTTATAACTTCTGAAAGTCCCCTTTCTCGAAGCATACCATTGCTTTATCCGGTGATGAGCCAACCTGCCTTGAGTCCCACCCTTCCTCGTTCTAATTGAGCAGGCCAATCAAGACGAGATGGAAAGTCCAGAGAATATGGTTGGACATCAACGGCCGGCCACCCCTCCTAAGACTACTTGCAGAGTTCCTAATTCGAACAACACCATCTACCACGACGGCGGGAGTAGCAGGCAAGACGCTTTCGAGAACAAGAAAAACAGACACGATGGTCCGAATAACAGCAAAGACCGCCAAACTCGGAATGAACGAACCAGAAATTTGAGCCACCAGCGCGAGCACAAGCTAGTCAGGAACATCCGTCCAATTGAGAAGGGTAACGGGCTTCAGGATGACGGCAAGTGGAAAGGCCCCCTTGGCAGCGTTCACAGTCGTGGCGACCATCTCGATCGGCCGAAAAGAACTCAAGCACGAAGATCCAGATATCTTGCTACCGGCATACAACCAGAGCCAACATCAGCACCTAGCCTAGAGTTGAGGGCCATTTTGATTCGCCATCACGAAACTCTCGGGCCAGACACCTGCGGGTTCTTCACTGTGAGCCATAATCATGGTATAGCTCAGCTTTCCACATTTCAAGATATTGAAACTAACAAACTGCTTCATAAAGATCTGATGACTCGCGTATGCGATGACATTGCATCCGACTGCTCGGCCTGGGGTTCATGGCTGGGGTGTGGATATAGACCATACACAACTTGCCTAGGGGGCGCTGCCCCTGAATGCGCGGCCGGTAAGACTATCGGAAGTCAGACTTTGTGTTGGTACGCCACGATGCCTTTCCCTTTGCTCACTTGATACTGACATTCATATGAAGCACCTCAGCTTCCGGATGGCTTCCAGAATGCCAGACCTTTCTCAGGGATGATGGTGGTTTGGGCACCAAAACGCTCTTAGGTTGCCGAAACGACAACGTGGTATGGGACGCGACTGTTTGGCTGCACACAGCAGCAATGGAGGCTTTGGGGAGCACTGAAGTACCAGCAACGACTTCAGTGGCGTCTTCAGTCGTTCTATCTTCTAGTTCTCTGATCTTGAGCAGTCCAACTGCCCCGTTGACGCCCATCGGTCAGGCGAGCAGTGGCAGCTCCCCGACCCCGGTAGGCCCTATTGTCGGCGGCGTTCTCGGTGGCCTCGCTATTCTTGCTATTGCCGGTTGCATCGTAGTCTGGCTTATTGTGCAAAAGAAACGCGGAACATCACGGCCATTCAGGAGGTCGACAGTCGTCCAGGAGCTCCAGGGAAATCACAGCCCTCACCACCAACCACAAACCGAAGGCTGGTACGGGCAGTCAAAGAGCAATCCTGCGTCACCTACTTCTCCCGCAGATACCCCGATAGCCAAAGAAATTTACGAGGCTCCTGTGGTGGAGAAGCCGGTGCAGCTCCCCGCGACGGTCAATGCCGTGGGCAGCCCGAGCAAGCCGGCAGAACTCGGATGATGGTTTTTGGCATGGCTAAGAAGGATCAAGTTTGATCTGGCAGTTTCGACAGAAGTTTGGAGGTAATTCTCAATTTTGTATGGCCTTTCAGTTGTTCATAGTAAATGAAGAGTAGTTTAATGCGCAATATCGCGAAGGGTCATTCAAATCACGATCAGCTTCAAGTCAGGCCAAGACACTCAATCAGCCTCGGGACGCCACAAAGTGCCGGAAATGGGTCGAATCAAAACAGATCTGCATGGTCAGTATTTGAGCCGGCGCCGAATTGGCTTTATGTGCCTGAGACATATAAATACGCTGTGTGGCACAGATCCTTGCGACGTTTAGAAAGCTGCTGTTTTGGCCTCTCCCTCGCGAACTAGCCAAGACCTTTTCTCCCTTGGAGGCGAGATAACTTCAGAGAAAATATAGTATTTTATTTCAATCGTAATTACAACAATTCAATATCGAAACAATTCAACATGAGAATTAGCCAACTTATCAAGCCCGTTTATCTCAACTTCCTCACAAGATTTGCTCATGTCTTGAGGACTGCCTTGGCATCTGTATCAGCCTGCGTCGTCTTTGACTTTCACGAAGGCCCTTTTAGTAGCATGAGCGTCTAAAATGTCTAGGCCTCATTAGATGGCATGGAACTTACTCTACCCGAGGTATGTTGCCCCATTCCTCGTCATCGGCCACCCAATGTCAGAGGCAGATATTTAGGATGGGACGCTGAGTGTCACATGGGATTTCAGTGCCTCTTCTTGAGTTCTCTCCAACTATTCCATCTGCAATTGAACAACATATGTATGCATTGTCTCCCAGGGTCGTGGCCATTCTGTCAAAGTTGCCGTGATCTATATCCGTCAGTCCAACGCAGTCCCTCAACTGTGAACCGAATGATGCGTCTGTATCTACTTCTTGTACTTCCCACCGGTGCCGTCTGTCTCTTGCAGCCCGGAAAGCGGATGGACGTTGCAAACCCATTGCCGGCCCGCCGCACACCCATCGGCGATGGCTTTGGATTCGTTAAGAGGGCGTCGCCCGCTCCGACTGCACCGCCAAGAATACGATTCAGAAATGCGCATCTCGACCGGCGAGCATCTGAGAATACCTGCGGATTCCTAGTGAACTCGGCAGAAAGTTAGTGGTGCTTTTCCAAGATTCTTCGTCACAGGTGCCCTTCTGACGCAGTAGCAGCCGAGCCTCAAGCACTATTCTGCCCAAGTACGACCTGCATGACCTCAGGATCATACATTGGATGTTCTCCTCAACCATATACTGCTTGCTATGATGGAAGTGCAGGGATATGTCGAACCGGTACACTAGGCCCTGGGACTCGATGCTGGTATGCCTTCCTTGGCGATGCTTTTTTATACAGGACGAAAGAAAAGCCGGACCGAATACCACTCTGGGCTTCGATGTGACTAATACTCGAATCCGTAGTACCGCGAGCACCAGCGGATGGCAACCCCAGTGCGTTAATTGGCGGATGGAGAATCCTGATGGCGAGATGACCTATATTGGATGCTACAATACCATGCTGTCGGGATTGAATACGAACAGCATATTCCTAGTCACAGATACAAGCCTCCTGCCATGGCTGTTACCCCCGCCTTCTACCACAGAAACATCCCCCTCGACCGATAGTACAAGTTCACCCACCGATTCGGCCAAGTCCTCGCCGGAAACTACCTTCACGGGTCTTCCAGATTCAACCGTATCTTTTTCATTAGGTGCACCATCAGAGACTGGCGGTCCAGCTCCCGTGGGACCGCCGATCGGTGCCATTATTGGCGGTATTGTTGGTGGCATTGCTGTTATTGCGCTCATTGTGTTCGCTGTAGTTTGGTTTACGATGTATAGAAAGAGGAGGCCCGTACGCAACAATGGAATCCAGTCACCGGCGGCACCACATAAACAGCCGGGGATTGTTGTTCAAGTCCATCCTATTCCACCTCCAGCACATCAAAAGCAGCCGCGATATCAAGCTCAAGCTCAACAGCAACGACATGGCCATGACCACAAATCCAAGGTCTACTACCAACAACATCCGCTTGCGGTTTCCTCGAAGCCACCATCGTAGCGAATCAGCTTCGAATGTTGGTGGGAACAGTTTGATTGTTGGAATACCTGGTCAGAGACTCCGAAGTTGCTCGAGGGGGGGGACTAAGTTTTATACTGTTGAAGGTCGAAAGCCACGAGATCGATTCATTCGTTCAACTTATCTCGTCGAACCCTCAAACCCCTTTACAAGCACGCAGGTATGTCTTTGGGGGCAGCGTCACACAGCGTCACACAAGATGGAAAGTTGATTAGAGTCGGACGCTAGCTTAGACCAGGGGCGGGTAGGTCGCGACGGCGGCTATGTCTCGGTCGTCAGCCGCGATCCTTCACTCACTGGCCTCGGAAGTCCCCGCCATCAAAGGGAACGACTTGGCGGTGAAATCCTCGCCACGTTTGAGCCTCTTTGACCAATCTGCCATCGGTCCGTTTTGACCTCAGATTCCTTGTTCCTTGTATGTGAGTGGCTATTGAGGCTTAGATCAGGTCAGACTCTTCTGCAATAAGAAACAACATGTCCAATGAAGGCGCACCGGTGACCACGCTAAGTCGCTTGTACCTCGACTATTTTGATCACCAAAACACAGATGGAAAATCCTGGGTTGCCTAGCATCTTTTCAAGTTGAATCTGCACAGATCTCATACTCTCCAAACGAATGTCTAAAGCTGCTCGACATGAGGCTTCAGTAGTAAAGAGATTAGCCAATTCAACAAATTCGGGATGCTCACAAACTCCCTTGAACGTTTTTTTCCAGGGAATGACAATCGCGACTTAAACATAACCCCCTTGAGCTAGCGCTGCCGCTGACGTCTGAAGCATGGATCTCGCGTTCGCCCTAAATATATCAGGCTTACAAGCCAAGCCACCTCTCCAATTTTCTCGGCAAACCACGGACGCCGTTGCATGAGACCAGGCTACAGTTCATCATAGGGCATTGTCGATCCATCGCTACAGTGCCTCTTTTGACGGGCCATTGGCCGATCAACAATACGCCTGTGCTGATGGTTACACTGACCTGCAATTCCTTCGTCTTACTGCGCCACCCGCCTGAGACGCTGCAGAACGTGAGATTTGGAGAGATAAAAAACTCATTATCCCTTTTACCCAGACTTTTGAAAGTTTTGGCCAGTCTTCCCACAGAGGCCGTCATCCACGATTTCATGCCAGGCCATCGATCTTGATTTGCGACATCGGCTTAGCAAATTGATAATTCGAGATGCGAAATGCGACGTTGCTTGCGGCCGCCGGCCAAATTTCAATGGCCATGGCAGCAGGGTCTTTGGCTGGAAACGACCGATTTGCGCGGCAAACAGTCGCGGCGGGGGACAAAGGCTACGGCTACGATGTGGGACCGCTGGCGCCGGCGCCGACACCCGACCCCGCCCGGGGACTATGGGGCCGAATGCCGGACCTGGCCGGCCGTGCTGAGTCGCTTGGGCCTAATACCTGTGGAATTGTCACCAACGGACCAGACAGTGAGTCGATTCTTTCCATAATGTAGAATATGTTCCATAATGCTAATCGTCGGAGGTCCCTTTCCCATCTCCTGCCCCAATAATCCCTGTCAAACGAATGGCAACTTTATGGGGTGCGCTTCACGACCCTATTCCAGATGCTTCCTCAGCTCGGCGTCACAATGTCAACAGTCTTCGCTACCACCTGGCGTCTTATGCTGGTGAGTCATGTGTTGTTTTTCAACCAACCGTCTACTGACACGAGGCAGCACGCGAACCGCGAACGGCTGGATACCCCGTTGCGCAACCTACTTAAAAGATGCCGGCAGATTGGATTTTAGAACACGATTGACGTGTGCGCACTCCAGCTTGAGCGGGACCCTGACGATGACGATGATCGCAGCCACCGATGAGGCGGGCTTCTTCAGCAGCGGCGGTACAGTGACAGGGACGGATCCCATACCGACGGACTCCTCCCCAAGCGAGACATCTCCTCCTTCAGGCGGTGGCTCTTCTTCGAATACGGGCGCAATTGTGGGTGGTGTTGTGGGTGGTGTCGCTGTGGTGGCCATCGCAGCCTGCGTCATTGTTTGGCTGGTCGTGCGAAAGAGGCGGGAAGCCAGGAGCAAGACTCCGCCACCTCCGGGGCAAGAGCCTTATTTGAGCCCTGGCCAGAGCCATGCTCCGTCTTCGAGCCCGCAGTACCATTACGCGGGGACCGAACAGCAGTACAAGTACCAGGCGGTGCCTCCCGTTTATCCGCCTGCCCCGGTGATCCACGAGGCACCCGGGGACACCCAACCTAATAATAGCACCCCTCGTGCGGAACTGGAAGATAGACAGGTTGGGAGAGATTAGGCGAGATATTTTGAGCATGTGTGGCGTTTGATGGATTTGGGAAACGACTACAGGACATAGGCATCTTGGCGTCACCGGCTGGCAGCATTTCTTCAGCGGCAATACCATTGTTTCGCGCAACTTGCATAGATTTGAGAGACAAAGAAACACGCGTAATCAATAAGTGTCAAAAGTCTTCTGTTCAACTCTAGTTTCTGTGGGATTGAACACGTTTATCATGACGGTTCATCTTGTCCATGTTGAGTAATTCTGAAATCACGAGTCCCGGCATCTCGATGCGCGTTTTAGGGTGTCATGACTTCGAAACGTCTTCAGAAGGAATAAGAAATTTTGAACGACCGTTGGGTGAGGCACAGGAGGCACAGAACCTAAAAAGGGTATCAGTCCCCGTGGTTATCATTGGGTCTGTTGGTTGTTCACAATTCCCCCGTGTTTGCACCCTCCAGTTCCAAACAGTGCTGTTGCCTTATGCGACTTGACCGCAATTTCAATATGCTCTTCGGAGATTAAACATATCATTTTGCGGATTGCTTTAAGGAGAAGTGGTGCAGCCTCATGGTTTCGTCGCTTCCCATCGCAGATATTCTTTTCACAACAGACTTGACCAAAGTTGACCAAGGTACAGAATGCGTCAACATTCCAACATTGAGCCCCCAGCTAAGATAAGCAAAGACAACTTTTTGGCATTTCTGCCACATTTAATACTACGGCCGCAAGCTTTAAGCTGAAGGCTGTGCTGCAGCCAACTCATCGCACCCCGGCAGTATCGTCAGAGAGTCCCAACCATCATTTGACCGTCCAACAACCAACGAGACCAGGATCAGTTGCGGGCCTGGCTGAAAACGAAACGATTTCCGCACATGGAAAACTCCCGACATGTTGGTACACGTTCAAGGGTAAAAAAGGACCGGGCATGATTGGAGAGTTGTCGCGTTGGATATCCTTGATATATACAAGGCCACACCAGCCCCCAACATCATCAAAATTCTCCCCAACCGCGGACCGCCAAGACTCGCTCATTCAGGTCAGTATCTGGCGAGGCGTTCTCAAGAGAACCTGCAGACGCAAGATGCGACCCTCTCCGAGCCTGCTGCTGGCTTTCATCAGCGCATGCTGTACAACCTCAGCCAACCCGCTGCAGAACAGCCGACATAAACAACACGCGCCTCCGCGTCGCACGTCTCCCGCAGAAGTATTCCGGTCCACCGAGGACACCGCGCCGGTCCCGACACCAGCTCCCAAGCTTCGTTACCGAAACGCAAAGATTGAGCCTCGATCAAAGGGCCCAGATACGTGTGGATTCTGGTCTTCTTATGGAGAAAGTCAGTGACGACTCGTGACGCGAAGATTGTTCCCAACACTGACTCCTTCCTAGCCGATTGGCAGACTCTGGTATGCAACACTGCGGCATCGTGTCAGACGTCAGGGACCGTTTTTGGATGCCGCGACGAGCCATACACGGGATGCATAGACGCGAGCAGCCCGTCAAGCTTGAAATCTTTGTGCGGGAACGATGAATCTTACGACGGGAATATTTGCTGGTAAGTTGGACTAAAATTTCCGGCGGCCTCTTTACCCAAGTATTGCCGTGATAACTGATGCTAATGGGAGGTGCAAGCGTAACGGTTGCTGAGCCGACATGTTTCATGTTCGTTCAGAATTACGGATTATCGAGTACGGTCACAAATCACAGATGCTGGCAAAGCATGTTTGGGCAATGGAACGCCCAGTACCTCGACACAACTACAGGCTCGGTTGCGATCACCTCGATTGTGATAACGAGGACTGCCCTGGTGTTAAAGACCCTATCATCAACTGCATCCTCAGCAGCGGAAGCTGCATCAGAATCATCTTCTTCAGGCGGTTCAGGCGTGTCAGGAGGCGCCGTCTCGACGACTGGTGCCATCGTGGGTGGTGTTGTCAGCGGCGTCGCCGTGATCGCCATCGCAGTCTGCGTTATCGTCTGGCTCATACTCAGACATAAGAGACAACGCAAGGAAGAATATGCGCATCCCATGACACCGGGTCCTCTAGAGCAATTCTCTATGCAGCCGTACGTCGCCTCCCCCGGTTCCGGTACGCCACGCTATCTGAGCGGGTTCTACGAGCCAGAAAAATACCAGCCCGTGCCGATTATCGACCCAACTTCTAGTGAGGCGCGGGGATCGCCGAGCATCAGCCATAGCAGGGTCAATGATAATGACAACGGCGATCGAATTGAGCTCGCATCATGAGACTTTGATGATAGGTGTGCATATATATTGGAACGAAGACGTCGTTATCAGGCGATGGGGGATGATATCAGCTGGGACAGCTGGCCATGTTGTCTGGGATTGATAAAAGATACCATTTATTTTCATAGAAGTGAACTGTTATTGAACTCAACTTGAAGCTACAATCGCTCAAACCATGCTTGAAATTTCAAGCCATGGTAAGCACAAGAATCCTCCATAACTCGGTCTCGTGACACGACCTGGTGGCGGAAAGCCGCCGAGGGATCACAGAGGAGTCGGGCAGTCCGACTCTTACACCTTGGCAGCCTTGCCATGGCAGACAAGTGAGAAACCCAATTGGATGGCTGTCCCGTAACTTGAGAGACATAATGGCACGCAGTGCGACCGGAAGTAAAACAGACAACGCCCAGGTTGCACGAGGGCTGCGAGACATTGAGGGGAAGAATGCATCCTTCCGCCCAGAGGGACAGATAAGCAGGCGAAATGCCATGTTGGCACTCTATTTGAAGTCTTTATTGTTCCATAATTTCGTGTTCCGTGTTGACGTACGATGTCCTCGGCAGACACTTACAACATCAAAGTCAAGATGCACCGCCTCTCTCGCCTTCTCCTTTCAGGGCTGAGAGCCCTCAACCCGCAATGCCCGCTGCATCCTAGGGTCAATCCATCTTACAATTCGAGTTATCGGACAACAAATCAGCGTTCAAAGGGCAAATACGTCGTTCAACCCGCAACTCGAAGCCAGAACCGCGCCCGAGCCCGAGAAAATAGCATCGACTCGAGCATCGAGCTCGCTCCCCTACTCCCCCTTGAGTTTGTCTAAACTTAGGGAAAATGTCGAGGTAGTGGAAAACTAGAGTGTTTACGAAGAAAGATAGGGGGCTAGGAGATCTATATTTGTGATATGTTGTCTCATGGATAACCCCGAGAAATAAGGCACAACAGGTCTATGAGGGTTATTTGGTGACAACTAGACGGCGAGGCTTTGTATGAAATCTCTCGTATCATGTTACTACTACAATCTGTTGTCTCTCATTGTTGGTTCAGTATGCCTTGCGACTATATTCGAGGGTCGTCACAGCTTAGATAGAGACGAATAAAGTCGTAGGATTGTAGCCTGCGAATCACCAACAACAGACTCATGAGGTTTCATCCAAAGTGAGGCTTTTGGACCGATTGCTCATTGTTTAATTCTTTCTCTGCCATTGTGCTCTTCTATACTCCCTTGACAACTCTGACGACCTCATTCTTTCATCTTCTCCCGCGAGACATTCAGGCTCATCCGAAGCCTTTCGAAATGGCTCAGGCAATCGTGATTCCATGGAACAACTCTAATGTAACACATCTTCGCCCAGCGTGGGTGCTCACCATTAAGGAGATAGCTGGCTGATTGAGACCAGCGTTGCCGCGCGCTATCTGGGACGTTGGGAGCAGAGCAAAAGATACCACAGCCCCTTCGTCGCCCTTCAACGTCGGTGGCCACTGTTCCCCCTGGCGTGTTGATATATACCTGTACATAATACGCTGTTGTCGTATTGTTCATCGAGATAATCTACAAACTGGGCCCTCATTATGCGCGAGTCCATCTCGCAACTTGTTTCCCATACACCGTGGATGAAGACGATGATTTCTCGTTGGAGAGGCAAATTGAACCAAAGAACCATCCTATTATATAATAACTATCTAGAGTGGCATCGCGCTCTGACTCTTTCCGAATCGGACTACTTATAACGCCCAGCCCAAGGCTCTAATGAAAACCACCCATTTGACGACATTCTAAGAAGTCAGACACATTCCATGAAGGTCTTGATAAGAAAGAGAAGCAAGGCCGAGGAAGTCTCCAGTAAGATGGTTTTATACTCTATCATGCCATCATCATAAATAGAGAGACCTCCCAAAGGCTTGATATTTTTGTTGTCCATCTCAAAATCAACATCGGCATTGAAAACGAAGATTCTATAGCCAGCCCCTGATAAACTTGTCACATTGCTTGCTTGGGATAGTTACGACAAATACGGACCGGACGAACGTACACCTCTTGGACAACCCGACTGAGGCGGTGACATTGCGCTACAAGCCGTCCTCGTAGAGATAAGATATGTATTGAATGCCTCCCTGCAATTAGTTTGGTAACGATAGACGACAATAGCTCGGTTATACTGTTTGTTGGTAGCTTTTGACCATGCATGCAAGGCGGGCTTCACAACTCGATCAGATATCCTCAGCAAACGTGAGGACCAGACGTCCGCGGATAGGATATGCGCGTATACGCCAATGAATATGATGCCACCAACAAGAAGAGTGACAGGCAGATAGGGAGGAACGGTCCAAAAATGACGAGCATCGCCCAATTGAGCCATCACCAAGTCCAGTTTCATTGTCGAAGTCTGGCACTTAAAATCACAAGGACAGGGCCTGCATCAATACATCGCAGGATGGCGAGACTCGTACAACGACTACAAGCGTGCTTGATGCCAGCAAAGATCGAAGTCAAACACATGGCCAAATTGCTTCAACGTCGACAGTCCAAGCGGACGTCGACATAAAACTCCCGAAACGACGCAGTAGGGCCTTGGCAGCCCCAAAGTCGCCTCCAAAGAGAGCATTCAAAGGAGCTATTGCTCACCACGAGCGCCTCACCCGTCGTAGTGCAGAATCGACTTGGCATCCCGTCTTGGCACGAACGCTTACAATCTCCAAGAACTCGTTGGAGAAATCTCTTCCGCACCGTTGAAGACACACACTGACCATCCTCATACTCGCTTGCACGCGGGTCAGACGTGGCACTCTAGCTCTGTAACGTTGAAGACAACCTCTTCACCTGAAAGATAACGACATAGCTGATAAGTGAGATAAAAGCTGAGGTTAACCCAAGACAGCTTGTGCCGACCAAGCTTTGGCCGAGCCGGAGAGCGAGGCCGTCTCCCGTTCGGTGACTGGCCTGTGAGAAGTGATAGGCTGTCGGCCACCTGGGACGGCCGAGGGAAGAATGCCAGTCAGCACGACGGAGGCAGACTCTCTGAGACAGGTCTGCATGATGGTTCTAGGCACGCATGCGAGTAGGCGCGCCAAGCAACAGCAGCGGCCGAGATCTCCTTTTACCAAGAAACCGTACGACGATTGTCGACGCGTCAAATATAGTTGGCGGCGAAAGGACTATCGATATCGAACCAAAATGCACACCTCCAGAGCCGCCCGCAGCTTCACCGCTCGTTTATCCCGGTCAGGTCTGGGACCCTTTCGGCGGCGAGCGGCGAGCCCTAGGCGAGCGACCATCCTGCCAAACGTCTGGACCGGGGAAAGAGCACGAGAGGATACGGAGCTGTACATAATCGCAGTAGGGCTGACTAGTGAGTTCCGATGAACACATCAGGTACCCGTGGGGTGCTGCGGGCACTAGGTAGGGGTCGACGCTGGCTACCATATGTCCATGCATCGCGAAGTTGCACCAAACGTTGCAAATGGTCAGCGGCAGCCACGTGTGGAGAGCCGTTTGAGCCAATCCGCAGACGCTATAGACTATGCTGCACAGCAGTTTCCCAACGGAAAAAAAAAAACCAAAGCGACTGGGGGCTCACGGGCGGCTTTTTGGTCAAGCCAAAGAAATTCAAGGTCGATATCTAGCCGTCGGCCAGGCATGTGCTTGCTAGGGTTCGGTTGGTTGTTCCGTGGGCAGCCGCAGACGGGAAGGGTGTAACTGACACTGGCGTACCCAGCACGCCAGATTGCTGGGAAGCGAACGAGCCACTGAGCTGCGAGCTTGTTTGCACGAAGGCCACCGAGACGGATGGCTGTTTTTGATATCGCATCACCGCCAATTTGTCCATCAACCACGGCGGGATGAACAAAGCATCTGCCCTAGGTGGTGCTGGCGTTTGTGACGTCGAAACATCCGGGATCCCTCGTTCGCACAGGAGGAACATCGGCATGAATAGGGATGGTTTCAACAGGGCCACATCCTACCCGAAGTCTGCATGCTCGCTCTCGCGTCAGTGGAGCGGCTTGAGCGGATGGACGATAATGCAAACCAACGAGCGGGATGGGAGAGCAGACGAAGAGGAAACGGCGGCGAACAGGGCGGCGTCGCGTAATAGAATGAGCAATGACAAAAATCGAAAAGCTCTTGGCACCAATACGGGCGCATCCTGTGCACAACCTCTGGCACCCCGCGCACCTAGGCCCGAGATGGAGCGAGTTGCGGCCGGAGGACCTTCGGTTGAAGGTGGAATTCCATGTATTTCGGACGCTTCCCCCGGTTTTCAGTTCTCCGAGTGGACAGGGGCACCGGCAGGGCCAAGCATCTCTCAGCGCTGCGGCGCACCTGCCATTTGCAGGGCAGGCAATGGAATTACCGCTTGCGGACTTTCGGACAGACGGCGAGGGGCCCCGTGTTCCATTGGCGTGAGGTTGGAGTTGTGAAGCCAAGCCAAGCCCAGCCAGCCTGGAGCCGGACAGGAGGAGGAGCGGTTGGAGGCAGCGAGGTCCGCAAGTAGGAGGCCGCCAGCTGCAGCTATCCCATGCTTTCTTGCTATTGTCCTGCAGACGGGTGCAGATACCCCAACCCAACCTCACACTCAGGGCCATCAGCGGCGGCGGCACCAGCAGCAGGAGGGTGTGCCGCAGGAAGCTCTGACCTCTTGGGGCCGTTTGACAGCTCGCAACTAGGCACAGCAGCTGTAGCTTGGAGGCGCACAAGAGAGCTCCCCGGCGCCAATATGCTGATGCTCATCGGCAGGTGATCTGAGCCAGACGACACATGGGAGATGGGAGATGGGCATCAGAGGTGTGCGGAGCCCCAGTCGAAATTGAGAGTTAAGGAGCGAGCGAATAGGGAGCCTGGTCAGTTGCGCCAGACTCAAGAGGCACGCAAACACACACACACACACACACACACACACACACACACAATGTAGCGGGCGCCGCCGCATCGGAAAAAGCGTGTCGTGTCGACGAGTCGAGTTGATTTGCGTCAAGGAAAGAGGGGTTGAAAGACATGGACG